AGATGATCTCCTGGAACCGTGAGCTGGCCTGCTGGGCTAGACCCAGGAAATAGCTTCATCTGCAGAGGCTCACCAATGCCAGGACACTGCCAAAGACAAGTGGCCAAATCTCTTCAGCGTCTGAAAGGCCGCACACATGTGAGCAGGGCAGCCAGTGCCTCAGGACCGGACACTGCCCGGTGGTCTGACCCAGAGTGAGAAGGTCGCCAAACAGCCCCACAATTGCTCTCCCTCCTCCCCAGAGTCCTGCAAAACTGATAGGTCCTAGAGGAGAAAGACACTCAGCTGGGCAATGACAGAGCTTTTCAGATCTGAGATCAATGAACAGCTCAGTGAACTCGGGGTGAAGCTCACCCACCTGACTCGATTTCATTTTCCTGTAGCACGTGGCCAAGGGATTTTATGCATAAGAAGTTCTGTAGCCAAGAAATGCACCCATAATTATAAAAATAAAGCAGACTTCATATTTGCACATATATGAGTGGTGATTAAATACATTAAAATCAGTACTTCTCAATTTCAAAGCTGTGTGTCAAAAATAAATGAATAAATAAATACATACATACATACACACACACATACAGAGGTCTAGATGTACGGTTGCACCAGCCTTCAGCAGAAAGAAAAAAAGTGCCTGACCTCTGTCTCTGTGAGCTCAGCTTTTTTAGATTTCACAAATCAAAGAGCTCATGTAGCATTTGTATTTCCAGGGCTAGGTTCTTTGACCTAGCATAATGTTTTATACATTGTTTTTTTTGTGTGTTGTTTTGCTTTTTGTTTTATAGATTTATCCATGTTATTACAAATGTCAGAATTTCCTTCTTTTTATCATTGAAAAATGTCACTATATGTATACATGTATATACACACTATATATCTCCATATATTGTATGTATATACACAGAGACACACACTGCATGTAGGTATCCATTCGTTTGTCCACATATGCTTGTGATACTTCTATATCTCAAGCTATAGTGAATAATGCTGCATGAACATAGGAGTGCAGACATCCCTCTGAGATACTGACTTTGTTTCCTTGGATAAATACCCAGAAGTCAGATTTTTCAGTTACATGGGGAGATATTGATCAAAGGGTGCAAAGTATCAGTTATATAATGAAAAGATTCTAGTGTCTGCTGTGCAGTTTTGGTGTAAATTAATTTAACTGTGATCATCATTAGACAATGAAGACATATATCAAATCACCCTACTATATACACTGGATATATAGAATAGTTGTTGATTAGATATTTTAAAATTGAAATGCCTGACCTCACTGAGAGGAGTTCCTGGGTCCACTAGGACAATTTCAGGTTCTAGGAAAAAACTTCCTCAGGCACAGAATAAGCTAAATGCACACAAAGTGATCTCTAGCTACTTAATGGATCCGACAGCTAATGAAAGGGCAATGCAAATGCAAGCTCGGAACAATCTTACTTACCTTCTTTCCAAGTATTTCTGACACAAATCTGAAACAAGCAACAAACAAAGTTAGAGAAATGTAAGTATTTTCAAACAAATGTATTAAAAGGGTAAAAACATGATCCTTACATGTCCTGGTTCCCATGGAAATATTGCTAATGCTGCTCTTGCTTCAGCAGGACTAACGGAAGTTTAACAAGTAGTAATTACTCTGCTTTTTCATTTGCAGCCATTCTAACACTAGCTGAGCTGTCTGGAGGGCAATATTGCCATGGGCTGTCTATTTCTAGCTTCCCTAACGTGGAAGTTACCGGTTCACACAACAGCAGCACTTACTTCCACAGCCAGGGTCCTCCAAGAGTGGGTACTGGAGTACGGCAGAAGACAAGGCCAATGGTGATTTTAGGAAGTGTAGTGAAAGAACTGAATGGTGATCCTACCAGTGTTGCTGCACGGATGGTGACAACTGTAAGCAAAGGTTTTGAAATGGCTATTTCTGCCCTGGCCCCAAGTTCTAGTTTACTAGCTACAGTTCCCTGTCTTCTGGTATTCTTTAGTTTCAGTATCAAATGTAAATTAAACTTTACAAGAGCCATGAAAGTGGATTTCTGGAAAAACTAAGCATATAACCAGCCAATGGTAAAGGGAAAGTAGGTATTTCCTCCACTTTGAGCATGCAGCAAGCCCTCTGCCCTCCTTTCAAGAGGAAATGCTTAACCTGCCCAAGGCCTCAGAAATGAAAATAAAGTTGGATTTCTAAACCTTATATTAGGATAGGTGTTTTTCCCCGGGGAAATATTTATGCCAAAAGAATTTTCTTCTGTATTTCTTCGATGTTGAATATAACACAATGAATTCTTTATCAATTACTCAAGGTACTAAAGAAGAGCCACTCTCAATCATGTAGAAAGATCCCCATGTGATCAGCATTTCCCCTTGTTATATCACAATGAACACAATGAAAATTCACAGCCTTAAACAATAATATGGCCCACAAACAAAAGCAATCTTGTGAGCAGACCACACACACTTAAAAGCAAATCCAATCTACACAAAGATCCTTGATACAATATAGGAGAGGGTAATTTTAAAAAAAGGAATCCTTCATTTTACCAAGGGATTTATACTAGGATTCTTAAGGTATTTCCTCAAGGATTTAAAATATAATTTGATACACAAAAATAGTATTGATGTGCAAAAGTTTTAAAGTAACACACCAATTTCCTCAGATGGGGTAAACCCACATCCGGTCCATGGCAAATGGGAAGAAGGACTTAAGTGGATACATTCATCTTTCAACCTTAATTCTACATCAAAAAGGATTCCAGAACTTAGTGACATAGCTTGAGATTCTCAGGCTTTTAAAAACAATTTTGCTTCAACTTGTGGGACTAGGGTAGAAAAGTAAGAGGAAGGATGGCCGGAGCAGCGAGAGAAGCGCTGTTCCACGTCAGGAAAAGCATATATATAGTCAGAATCTCTGAAAATATGCTATCTATGCCTTCAATATCTTTGTATACTAAATCATTCTCTTTAAACCTAAAAACTCAGACAGGGGAAACGGAAAAAGAAGGGAAAAAAGAAAAGAAAAAAATATATATACACGAGATAGTTAAGATAGTTATACTACTAATTTCTGTTTGTTCATTGAAAGGAAGGTTTGTGCTATTATTTGAACAATTAGATATCTATATCTTGTACTCTGAGTAACTAATTTAAAGATAACAATACGCAATGTATTAACCAATGTTATTCTCCTATTATCCTGTTTTGAAATTTTGTTTTGTTTTCTTTTTAAAATAAAATAAAAAAAAATAAAACTTAAGAGCCAAACATCAAAGATATTTGCTTTAAAAAATGCATAACTTCCTACCTACCTCTTATTTAGAAGGATGTGAACGAGAAACACACATCTCAGACATATTTTTTGAAACGATTTTAGTGGAGTTGTATTTGCCTACCATAAAATTCCCACTATTCCCTAATTTTAGCAAATTGTCTAAGTTTTGGAACTACCATCATAAACCAGATTTGAACATTTTCATTCCTCCACTAAGATCTGTGAGCCCTTTTACAGCTAATATGCATTCCTACCTTCAGTACCAGCCCATCTCTAAGCTCAATTTCTGTCCTACAGATTTATATTTTCTATACTTTTCATAGAAATGGAATCATATAAGTGCCTTTGTGTATGGTTTCTTTCTCTTAGCATATTTAAAACTAGATCCATGTTGTAGTATATGTCCATAACTCATTCCTTTTTATTGCTGAACGACATGCCACTGTACATTGTTTATTTGTTTGCCAGTTGATGGAAACTTCCATGGCTTCCACTCTTTGGTGTAGGAAAAGCCCTCTGATGGCCCTGGTGATCCAGCTCCTCCTCCTTCTTGCTTGTGGTCCTCAGAGTACAGAATGTACTGTAAATGCAGCAACCTCAGATAAGGAGCACCTGGCCACACCAACGTGGGCTCTGTTGTTTTTCCTGTTAGAACAGAATGTCCTAAAACTCTCTAGCTTACTGACTGAGGTTTCCCCCTTGTATAAAACCCCAGACAGAGCACTGTTTCAGGGTCCTGAGCTGTATTGCAAGGTGGGTCACACACAGATAAGATTCCACTCTTTCTGGGCCTTGGGGGACCCGCTGGCATGAATCCTGAGCTTCTATTACCTGTCACTGCCTGTGTGTGAATAATAACTTACTTCTCTTAACTGTTGTGTAGGATTCTGTGCCTCAGCAGATTCGTGCAAGTGGCTTAACACGTGTGTGGTACTGGTGAGGTGTGGCAAGTCCTCCACTAGGATTTGATACTGGTGCATAGAGAGACTTGATTCATACCTGGCTTCTATGAACAATGATACTATGATTCACATGTAGGTCTTTATGTGGACACATGTTCCCAATGTCTTTGTACACACCCACTTTTTATAATTCAGTCTGCATGTGGAGCCCTATTGTCTGAGGTGGAGATCTCCCCAACGTTGTTTACAACCTCCCCAAAGAGGCTGTGCACAGCCTCCATTGAGTCAAGTTTTATGGTGAACAGCAGCAAAAGAGGCCTTGGTCCTTCCCAAAGTCTCTCTCTAGCTTGTGTGCCATGGATCAAATGTCTTTAAAACCTTGTACTTTTGTAGTACAGTAAGGTCCCACACACAGATGTGGAATGAAGGCAGAAAAAAGAAACCATGGCCTCCTCTCACACAAGTCACTTTGGAAGATGTCCTCTCAGGTCACAGTTTTGGAGAAGGGATGTTCTGTGTGAGTAGGTTACAGATATTCCTGTAGCTATGCAGAACAACTTTTCTTTGGTAGTGAGGGATGTATATACCACCTTGAAAAGAAACACTAAAAGGGTCCAGAGTAAAATCCCAATCTACTGGTAATTTTACATGCTTTACGTATAAAGAACATTTGTCTTCTTTGTAGTTTTTTGTGCCTCTCCATATTTTATACTAGCGGAGCACATGTTCTTTTGGTATTTTTGAGAAAACTTTTGTAGTGAAATGGCTTTCATTAGTCTACCACTGTAACTCATTTTCCCAAACTTCCTGTGTAAGATTTCACCCTGTAAATGAGCCCGCACAGCGCCGTGTGAATCTGCGCATGCTGTAACAAATGCTCCTGAATGGCTTCTGTTTCTCTCTCTTATACTCTCTCTTTTAAATGTTAAATATGAGCATTCAGCACCAAACCACATAGTACAAAGACCTCTAAATAAAGATTCAAAGACCCTGGTTATAAATTTTGGCTCTGTCACTTAAAAGTTACCTGGCTTCTACAATCTGACAGTGATCCCCCAGAAGCCCATGTGATAGAGGCCCCGAGGTTACATAGCTCACTGGAGATGTGTGCGGTGGCCCAAGGGGGATGGGAATCCTGCCAGTCTTTGGGCTCTCGCTCTGCTTTCCCAGCTCACGAGGTGCCTGGTTTGCTGTGCCATGCACTCTTGCCATGATGCGCTGCCCCACCAGAAGCCCAAAGACATGGGGCGACTCAATCAAGTGCAGGAAGCCCAGGACCTTAAGTCCAAATACACCTTTTTCCCTTGTGCATAGCTTCTCTATGGTATCTCATTATACTAGCAGCACACTGGTGAATGCAGGGACTGTGTACAAGTCAGCTTAGGCAGACTCACTTCTCTTATCATAAAAGATACCTCATGGAGATTTTACCAAAGATCAAGCATGGCACTGTCTGAAAAAGCACTTTGTAAATCAAGAACAACTATCAAGTGTTAAAGCAGATTCACTGTAGCAGCAGACACGGCATTAAACAGAACATTCTGAATTGCCATGTGCAGATCCCAAAGGAGTCAGAAGAAGTATCTGATTTGCGCTCTCCCTCTCCAAATCCATCAGTGTAGCAGAAGACTCATCCGTAAGACAAATGAAGACACATGGGCAGGTTACCTCTTTGTCTCCCTGACCGATTCCTCAGTGGTCTCCTTGTATTCTGGAACACTGTTATTCAGATCCATGCAGACTTTGCCAACAAATGCCCGTTGCCCAAATTTATCTGTGAAACACACACACAAAAAGAATCTGAAGGAATCTTTCTTTTCCAAAGTGTTCTTTGTTGAGCCTTTTAGAAATACATTTAATTAAAATAATTATGAAAATGCAGTGTAAAGGAGCATTCAGCATCACACCACTTACCACTTTGGAATAATAACCATGACAGACCCACTCACTACAGCAAGTTGTAGAGGTGTTTCCAAGTATTGTACATCCACATGCCCTGCCTGAGCAGGTAATCACTGGGTGTCCAGTACTTCTTAATCAGCTTTTCCCTTTCCGCACACAGTTTGTCTCTATTTTTACCTGTGTCAACTATCTTTGTCCTCATTTTATCACACAGTGAAGGGGGAACAGCCTCAGATCCTAGGGAAACACTGTACTATTTTTCAGCATACCTGCACTCTGTCTCTTCTCTTTTTTTTCCCTTCCATTTCTCCTCTACTCACAATCTCCCTCCTGTCAAGTACTCCACTGTCGCGCCTTGCATTGAGTCTCGGCCTGTGTATGCATGGTGCTCTCCTTGATGAAACAGCATGGTAAAGTGTTGAGAACATGAGTGGTTCCGTGTGCTGCACTTGGGTTTGATACCTTATCTCTCCAGTTAATTCCTAGGATGACAGATGCTTTTGCTTAAGACCTAGACCTGTATGTTCCCACTGTCCTCTGCTGTATGCAGGGTTATGAAGAATATACACAGTTATGTACACGAGGCTCTGTGTATGCTACTCGTACCATACTGCTGCTTTCCTTAACTGTCACCGTATCAGTAACATTACTTTGGGGAATTTTACTTCATGTCACTAGCAGCTCTGAACACTAATGAACCTTGTACTCACAAGAGCTGCTGGAAGAATTCTGTTTCAGCAAGAAAGTTGAAGGTACATAGGACAATGTTGTTTTTATAAAGTTCCCACTGCTATGATATGAGTTTTTCAAAATGTTTTCTGATGCTCTCTTTCCCCTGTAATTCAGTTTAATACTGGCTATTACATTATTCTCCCTTACAATATCACTTTCATTGTATCACGTGGTCTAAAATCTTGCTGGGATCTTTGATGTTTATTGAAGACCCTCCATAATCTGAGCCATCCCATCTGCCCAACATTCTCAAGCACCGCACCACGCAGTCTTCTCCATTAAACTACTTCCTGCTTCCTGTATCCACCAGTGACACATCCTTGTTCGCACGCCTCTGTCCATCTCATTTCAGATGTTTAGGAGATATTTTATTCTCTCCAAAGTCCAGTTTGGAGGTCCTATCAATGAAACCTTCGCAGATGACCTAGTTGGGTTCTCTTTGCCTCCTCTGATCACTGTAATAATTACTTTCAGTATCACACATTAAGCCTTTGGCATCAATACACCAGCCACCAGCAGTGTCTTCAGTGCATCAGTCAATAGCATTTACTAAGCGCTCGCTACATGCCAGACACTGTACTGGGTGAAAGTTTTAGAATCATCAACCTAAATTCAGTCTCACTTTGGCTTACTAGCTATTCTACCTCGGGCATCGAGTTTTGCCTCTGAACATCAGTTTACCTATTTGTACCAAGGGGACATCAATAACTATCACACAAGGCTGTCTGCAGCTTACTCAATCCATGCAGAGTGCTTGATCCAATGTTGGGCACCTGGTAAGAGCACCACAGATGTTACTAAAATTATTAATCAATCGGTGTGAAGTACTCTGTCTGGCTCTTCTAGGTCAGAGACTATTTTCTCTTTCATTCTCTTCCCAGTATCAAGCACTCTGCCCGGAGTCTAGCCAAGAGACCCAAATAAACTGTTGCCACTGGAAGAATTCTCTAAAAAGCTCCATATTAGTACACAAAATTCAGATCCATAAACATTACTCTGGAATTAGAAACCATAAGTAAATAATCAAATTACTTAAACAAGAAAAATTCAAGGGCCACAATTATACAGAGACACCTAATTACTTGCAGAAAATGCAATGGTCCAATTCTAGCAATTAAGAGGCAGGACTGCCCACCAAATAGTTGTCGTCAGGCCTGGGCTGGCAGTCTTTGCTTGATGTGCACATAAATCCTGCTTTCATCTGCTCACCTGTAATCTCTGCAAGGAGCAGGGATGCATCAGTGTGAATTGTTCCAAAGTAGCAAGCTGTGGTTGTTCCATTCTTTAATGTTCTTCTCTAAAAATAAATCACAAAAACCCTGAATTACATGCGCTCCAAAAAGTCACATGGCATTTACAAGATGAAAATAGAATTCTAGTTTTTAATTTTCAAATGCTTTTATTTAAAGGTATGCCATCTTGATGTGAACTATATTTAAATAAATGGCAAAAGTATTTATATCCCTAAAGTGTTAGCTTAAGAAGTTGATACTTTTAATTTCCTAGAGTCACATACTTCTGTGTTTCAGAATTCACAAAAGTGATACTAATTAATTCCTTATTTCTTAGGATTGTTAGAGGATATCTACATCTTCTTGCATCTAGGAATGCAGAATGAGATTCTTCTATCTACTAACTGGGTAAAATTATTCAGCCTGACTTTTAATTCCACCTGGCAATTTGGTCACATGTATCTGTCTCTTTTGTGTTTAACAATTTTTACTAATAACACGGTAAGCAAGTATAGAATGTGTTCACCTACAAAAAGAACATGAGACGGGAACAGGGGAAACATTTCAGTGTCTTCTTAGAAGACAAGGAACATGGATAAGAAGCTGTAAACAACCTTGGGAAGAGAGGGAGACGCATGCAGGTGCTAGCAGGGAATCGGCCACAAGTCTGTCTGCTGAGAGTTAATGCTTGGCAGGATTCTGCTCCACCATGTTGAAATCACCCAACAACTACTAACCTGTTCCTTGGAAAGATATGCTCTCCGCAGAAACCGGTTAGGGTACAGTTCCCCCAAAACAAGGAGTGAAGTGGTTAAAATGGAGATCTGGCTGATCTCCAGGGTCCCCACTAATCTTCCCCAGACTACCACATGTGTTACTTCCACTTCTCCTGACAAGGCACAGAGGATTCTTCCCCAGAGAAAAAGATTAGCTCTAGAAGAACAATGTCCCCACCACAACGCTTAGAGCCTCTTAAGGGGACTGTGGACTGCTTCTACAGGTCATCCCACGATGATGTTCCCTCATTGGCAGGTGCTAGCTCTACTCAAATCTTCCTATTGGCATTTTAGGGCATCACATTTAAATATGAATGCATGTCCAAAGTTGGACAGACATTGGAGGAAAGTTACTATACAGGGGAAGGGGTATGAGAGAGAATGCAAACTTTTTTTTTTTTTGGCAGAAACATAATCTATATGGTCAAAAGAAAGGTCAGTGTAAAACTATAATTAATAGCCTCAAAGAAATATAATCAGGTATAAATTCCCAAAATAAGAACAGGATGCTTATTAAGAATGAATGCTGATTAAGAAAATCAGAGAACAATAGCTGTCCAAATGTGAAAATATTATATATGATATATCTGGAAGCCAACAGAAAAATTGTAGGACAAATCAGAAGAGAATCTCTTAGGAAGTTAGGAGCAAAAATGTAAAAATGAGTCAAGCCAGGAGATCTAACATTTAGACTCAGAGTTTTCTAAAGCAATTCTTTAAGTAAATGGAGGAGATGAAAATCATCACAGCACAATGAATAAAAAGCAGAGATCAAATAAGTCATATAATTGTGAGCTATTAAGTCGATAAGTTAAAAAAAAAAAAAACAAACAAACCATAAGCTTCCAGAAAAAGAAACCCAGTCATAGAAAAATGAAAGAAATCACAGTGACCCTGCAGTTCTCACCAACAATGCTGGAGGCAGAGGAACAATGCCTTCACAATTCTGGAGAGGTTACTTTTAATGTCGAATTTTATTGCCTGGTAAATTATTAATCAAACATGAAGGCAGAGTACAGAAATGATTAGCTATTCCAAGACCTACAACTTTTACCCCCCATGAACATTTTCCTAGGAAGCTCTCAGAAGATGCATTTTAATGAGAGAGTGACACCAGAAAAAAAGGGTAATCCTGATTCCAAGAAACGAGGATCAATAACTGTGACAGAGGCAAAGAGCACGGCCACATTACAGTAGTATCAGAAAGGGTCCAAATCAGACTGAAATAAGATACTGGGAGGAGGTATGAAGGTCTTTGAAAAGAAAATGGAACTGATACTGCCTGACCCGCTGGAGCACTTGGTAAAGAGGACTGGTTGACCGAACTACTTTGGGGTATGTCTTCTGCAGATGTTTTGAAAGTGTAGAAGAATATTCTCCAGACTGGGTTTTTCCTTAGTTGTTTTATTTTCTCTTGAATTCTCTGCATCAGTTTCCTCCTTTGTGAACTCACAGGGCTTTCTTGAGTAGCATAGGAGTCAGAGCTCAAATGCTTGCAGGAGTGACACGGTTTGGAACGAAGATACCGGGGAAGGGCATGTTCCACCTGGGTATCCTCTACTTGGCATCAGCCAATTCGTAGACAGCCTAGTAATGTCAACTAGTCTTAAAGGTCAAAAGACTTTGGAAGGGGGCTGGGGATTTAGCTCAGCGGCACAGCGCCTCCCTGGCAAGCGCAAGGTCGTGAGTTCAATTCCTGGTACCAGAAAAAAACCAAAAGAACAAAAACAAACAAACAAAAACACTTTGGAAACCTGGATCTTCATGACAACTTTCCAAATTTTTAAGACAGTTTACCCATGAAATAAAATATATCTACTTGCTAGTATAGAATATTTAGAATCTGTGTGCACTAGAAATAGATCAGCGCTCCACTAGAATTATGACTCCAGATGAAAAGCTAATATCATGACAGAATTTGATCTCCAGCAACTAGAAAAAGGTCTAGTGTGCATTCTAGTGTGTGCTCAGCCAGTACTGGCTGAATGAACACCTAGGAAAGCAGAACTACTAAAACAGTAAGAGACATAAAATGAACTAAAATTATCTTCAGGTGAATAGGGTAGAACAGTGTTTCCTCAAGAAGAATGGTTTATCATACCAGTAAGACTGAATTAATGATTTTAAAAAATTAGGCTAGGACATTGTGTAAGGACGTAGCAAGAAAGAAAACTCAAACACATGAAAGTAGATTCAGAAGCACCAGTGTCTTTGTCATAGTACTTACAGAAAAAGAGCTAATTAGAGGGAAGAATACACTGTATGAAAGACACACACAAAGGGAAAGAAGAGAGATACACAAAGAGAAAGAGAGAAACAGAGACGGGCAAAGAGAATTACATTCCCCAGAACAGAGGACAAGCGTTCACCTATTGAAAGAAGTACTCGTTAAAAAAAATGAATGGGTAAAAACAAAAAATCTACAAAATCAAAACTACACTGAGATGCCTCACATCTATTAAGATGGGGCTGGGGATTTAGCTCAGCGGCACAGCGCCTGCCTGGCAAGCACAAGGTTGTTAGTTTGATTCCTGGTACTGGAGAAAAAACAAAAACAAAAACAAACAAACAAAAAAAATTATCATCTATTAAGATGGGCATTATGAAAAAAAAAAAAGATAAGTGCTATGAGGTTTATGGAAGAAAGCAATTTCTTCTAACACTGTTGTTGAGAATTCAAGTTAGTGTAGCTCCTGTAGAAAACCGTATAGAAGTTTCCTAAAAATAAACACAGAGCTATGATATGACCTACCAAACCCACTGCTGAGAATATATCCAAAGGAGATGTCATCAAGATCTCCAAGAGACGTCTATACTCTCGTGTTCACTGCAGCATTATTCTCAGTGGTCGGGTAGCAGAATCAACCTGAGCGGCCATCAACAAATGAATTATAAAAAAGTTGTGGTATGCATACCCAATGGAATGGTAGTCAAAAACAGAGAAGAAATCTTGCCATGCTATGTGAAATAATCTCAGATATAGAAAAAGACTTTATCAAGAGAGAAAATATGCACTGCTAAAATTTTCAGAGCAATCATAAAAATTAAGCTTTTATTAGGTCACAAAATAAATCTCTCAATTATTCCCAAGATAGTAACACAAGTCATCTTCACTAACCAGAATAAAATAGAACTCAAAATTAAAACAGAAGTATAATCGAAATTTTTTTTAAATTCTGAAAATTTTAAGCACCTTTCTAAAGTCCTGCTTTGAAGATGAAGTCAAAGTGGAAAAGTTGACTATTTTGCAACGGAATCAGTCCACAGATACTGGACTGTTAGTCCCTTTCTTGGGGCCAGGCCTGAGCCCAGCAGTCTGTGGGATAAGGAGAAAGGAACTAACAGGAGGAGAAAGTATAGTTTTAAATTAGACTGGAATTAACGAACAATACTGGAAAGGCTAGGGATCTGCCCAAATTACAGACAAAGGGCAAGGCAGGGAGAGCCCCCTGGGAGGGAAGGAAGGGGAGAAAAGAAGGAGGGAAGAAGAGGCGGGCAGAGGGAGGGAAAGAACCCAAAGCTGTTTGCTCCTACTGAGTTCAGCTTACTGAATGAACCAGCTACACGGTTGTTACGTGTGTAACTTTAAAAACTAAGAGAAGCCGTCTTCATCCAGGTTTGCTTGGGCTTCCCAGGCCCCTAGTCCACTTTAGCCTCTCACAAGTCTTAGAGAGAGCTATTAATGACTACTCTGCAGTTCCCCATTCATAGGGAAATCTGTCTAGCACAACAACAAAGTGTCGACTCTATTTCCTAACCTTTTCTTAGCTACCAGTTCTTAACAGAAAGGGTTTTGAGACCAAGTTTTATGAGCTCAAAGAAATTCCCCAGTGAAGATGACCATAAACTTCAAACTAATTTCCAGTGATGGGGGAGGTGGTCTGGCTCCCCCTGCTCCCTTTCACTGAGGAGCTTACCTTCTTTTCCCCTAACTATCACTTGGGCAGATTCCCATTTTCTGTTCTTTCTAGTTCATTTCAGTCCTGTTTGAAACTGCAATCTCTTGTTCAGTTCGTAGTATTTAAAAGGAGACATTCTAGGTTTGGCTTACTGGGATTTTTCCCTTTAATAATCACAGGAAATTTTTGCTAATACATATTTTAAATAATCTGCAGAATAATTTATCACTGCCATAATTGATGGAGCAAATTTGTTGAAGTAAGTCTATGAATGTTTTCCAGGGGAGAAAACAAAAAGCAAAAACATTATTAGTTTTATTCCTGGCTACTTCCTTTGTATTTCTTTGTCTTGCACTAGAAAACCTTCAGCCCAGAAACAGTTTCTATGGAGTAACTCTCAAGTTTCTTGAACTACATGGGCCTTCTCGTAATCCAAAACACAGGATGGACAAATGCACATGCTTGTCAGGAATGAAACCTTTGTACTCACTGATGGAGAATACTTAAATCTCTGATATTTACAGACTCTTTCCTGAAGGATATATGGCCCCTGACTTCTATCTTTCTAAGCACAAAAGTCTGATCTAGCTGAACTCTTTCATCCTATAGCATCTTCACAATACGTGTTTTTGAAAATACATGGGATTAATTTCCTTAAATTTTAGTAGGAGGAACAGATATGCTTCATCTGACAAGTGTAGTTTTAAAAAGTCATATACACAGTATAAATTCCATAACTGATTTCTTCCCCTGGGCCAGCCAATAGGAACTTATAGCCAAATTTGTGACAAACTCTAACAGAAGCATGTGTCCCACCCCTAGGACATGGGTTGGCTTCTTGATTTTATTTTATTTTTCCCACTTCCTTTTTGTTCTTTGCTGTGATTTGATGACTCATTTTCTTTTGTTGGATACTATGCAATTTTAAGCTATCTCAAACCATTTTTAGAACAATGTGAAGTATAAATAAATTCTAAGAATAAACATTTGGTGTGGTTAACACAATTCATTAACACAGTGTACCAATTCATTAACCAGTGTACCACAATTCATTAACACAGTGTAACTTCATACATAGCTTTCACCCCTTCTCAGTTTTTCTCATGTCATGTGGAGGCACGCTAAATATATATGTAAGCCCCACCATTACACTGAATTTATAAGTAAGCAAGGCAAGTGTATAAATGTGAACACTTGCTTCTGCTCTGAAGGTTGGAATGATGCAAGATCAGGGAAAGTGGCAGGATGACTAAACCAGTCAGTGCAGACGTAATGCTGTCAACACCTTACAAGAAAAACTATCAGTGGATCCAAGAAATCCAAGAGTGATGGGCCAGGGACCTAGCTCAGCAGCACGGTGCCTGTCTGGCAAGCACAAGGCCCTGAGTTCGATTCCCTGTACTGAAAAAAAGGAAAGAAATCCAAGAGTGTACAGCCCAAGGGTACTGAATGGCAGGAAGCAATGGTCAGATGAAAATGGATTTGCAGCTTTAGGATCTGATTGCTACATGTTCGCCGGTTGTGGGCACAGAGTTGCAGTAGAAAGGAACTGATTTTCTTGAAAGAGTGGAGGGAAGAGCTTTCAGTCGCTGTGTAGTTGACACTACAGCCACTGTTCACTGACTGAACGGGCTCCAGCGCTCCCTCTAGTGGCATTCACGCTCAAGAGGGCACATGGGACCTGTCCATTATTCCCTCCTGGCAAACCTGCCAAAATAACGTGATGTTCTTCTACCAGTAATTTGAAATTTTAATTTTTTATTTCCTTGGATATTTTTAAAGAAAACCTATGGCACTCTTACAATGTGCTAGGTACCTTTTTAAGAACCTCACAAATAGGGGCTGGGGATTCAGCTCAGTGGCACAGTGCCTGCCTGGCAAGTGCAAGGTCGTGAGTTCGATTCCCAGTACCAGAAAAAAACAAACAAACAAACAAACAAAAAAAAAGAACCAAAAAAAAAAGAACCTCACAAATATTGACTTGCTGAATTATTACAACAATTTTATGAAGTAGGTACTATGATTATCTGTACTTTTTACAGATGGGGAAAATGAGTCACAGAACTTTTCAAAGATCACATAGCTATTCCATATGGTCTTCAGAACAGCATCACAAAGTGACAGGAATAAGGGAACACACACATGCATTCAACTCAAATTTGGTAATGTAAAGCACAAGAATTATATGTAAAAGAGAACAACAGAGAGCCCACCAGATTAGAGATTTTAGTAATTTAGACTCAAAGTCTCTTTTTGCCACTGACTGGCTGCGTAGGTGAGGTGGACACAAAGTCACTGAGCTGTGATAAAACTAAAAAATATAACTGTCGCTGGGCAATGTGGCATACACCCATAGACCCAGCACTTTGGGACGCCAAAGTAAAGGACTGCACCAAGGGCCCAGTCTGGGAAACTTACTGAATTAGCAAGACTCTGTTTCAAAATAAAGAATAAAAAAGGGGTGGGGATACAGCTCAGTGCAAATGTGCTGGGTTTTAGTCTCTAGCACTGCAAAACAAACAACAATTGTTATGGTTTATCTAAGCCTTAACTTCTGACGCTGGATAGCTTAAACCTGCCTCTAGAGATGGAGTTTGTGTAAATGACCAAGCATGGTACAATACGCACATACAGGATACTTACAACAACTCTGGTGTAGACTTCCTCGGCAAGCTCAATGCTCTGGAATTTATGTTCTGTAGGAAACGTGTAGTTCTTCAGCCATTCCAAAAGTGGCAGGTCCACGTTACTCCCAGCAAAGGAGTACTGAGGGGCATGGATGTGTGTGTCTACCAGCCCAGGTATGAAGAACTCACTGGAAATTAACACGAGAGGAAAAGCATTTAGTAACATCTTCAGTGTCTTTCTGTCATCTTTAAAATCACACATTCTTTGACCATCACTTAACTGATCGTCCCACGCCGGTTTATAGCAGTCTAACTAACAGCAGTATGTCTTCCTATTGTCAAGAGGTCTGGAAATAAGCTTATGCTCCGCTAGGAAAGAGAGCTTTGTGTCAAAATGGTAGGTGCAGGGCTAACTGGAGAGGACAGTGAGAGGAAGAAGCTCAGCACTAAACAGAAGCAAAGCAGTCGGCTCACAAGAACAGAGGGAAGCTAGGACCTTACTCTATGACTCTGGTCTCACAACTGGGTGATTGTAGGTCAGACAGCAAAGCTGGGACAGGAGGAGGTCTGAGAATGTCTAGGGCTAGGCTGAGGGAGGTACACATGAGTCAACAGTGAGGATGAGAAACAGAGTGCTATGGCTTTGGTTCCACGGTCGCCTTGGTCTTGGCTGACTGCAAGGTAGCTAGTCCTTCCTAGTAGGCCCCAGGTACTAGTTCTGAAACAGAAGCACAAGACCAAACTGGGGCTGGTTAGGGACAGGTGATCTGAGGAGATCAGAACACAAATGGGCCACTGGTTGAAATGGTTAAGTGAGGGAGTGTCTGTGCTGCGCGTACCATTCCCAGATGTTTCTAATCATCCCTGCTGCTGTCTGCATCCACCAATTAGTATTCGCATTCCCCTGCATTCTTACAGCTGACCCATTCCTACAGCGCTGATCCGCTTCTCCAGGGTCTCGGAAGTCTCTAAACTTATCCAAATGGCTGTTAGAAGACGGTGTGCACTGCCACTACTATCGTCCTCATCCTGCGAGCAGTGACCACAAGCGCCCCTTGTTCCTCAGCACGGTTTCTTATGGAAATCCAGGAAGAGGAAGGAACAGCAACACCAGAGTTACTGTACTAATTTTCATGCGTACTCCCCACATTCTTCCAAGCTACCGAGAGGCAGTGGGGAGGAGGAAGGGATAGGAGCTGTGAGTACAACTACAAGCGCAATTAAACTGTATGTGCAGTCATCCTGGCTCCCTGGACTGTGGCTAGTGACCAGCTCAATTGTCAGAATGAGCTCACAGAAGGGCAGAAGCTTGCTTCGCATCTAACAAGCGCAAAGCTACAGCATGAGGTGTTTCTGGTTTTTTGTTGTTGTTGTTGTTGCTGTTTTTTCTGGTACCAGGAATCAAACTCACAACCTCGCGCTTGCTAGGCAGGCGCATGCCACTGAGCTAAATTCCCAGCCCCCAGGGTAAGGTGTTTCAAACCAGGTGTTTAAATTCCCACTTCAATATGGCTCTTGCTACGTTATCATAAAGACAACTTCCAAGGAATGAAAGTGTCTTCAGAATGAAACCTGTATTTTTTTTTCTTTTACTTTGGAAACACAGTTGACCTGAAACAAGATATCATATTTAAGATATCTGGCAGAAAACAAGTATCCCCTTTCCGTTTTTCAGTGCTGGGGATTGAATCAAAGGCCTCCTGATGCCAGACCAAGTGCTCTGTCACTGAGCTCTACACTCCCAGACCACTATATATTATTTTGAGACAGAGACTGACTACATTGTCCTGGCTGGCCATGAACTTGGGATCCTCTCGCCTCAGCCTTCCCATTAGCTGTGATTACAAGTGTATGTAACCACACCTGGTCAAGTAATCCCATATCCAAAAAACAAATCAAGCAAGCTATAGAAACATGGACCTAAACATAGGAAACACATTTTATACCAATATTAAAAGTCACTAAAATTGCAGCTCAAACATATTTCTCAACATAGGTCTTCCCTAATCATGATGTTAGAGCAATTATTTTCCAGCTCCATATTCTGACAGTTTATCAGTCATTTCTCTCCCCTTTCCATTACTTCTTTTTTGGAAGATAACACAATTCGGAAGATAAACTCTGCAAGGCCCGGCTAAGTGTACACGGTAGGCTCAGCAGATATTTGCTGAAGAAATATATGAATATGGCAGCTTCCGGTTCTCAAAGTTCTGTCCTTTAGACTGCTCTTCTCTTCCTTCCCATCACCCCAGTTAAACAGCTAATTAATGTGGACAGTCCTTCTGGCTCCCTAAGGCAGCTTTCCTGTCACTGGAGCCGGTGACTGGCTCCCAGAGGAAGGGAAGAAGTCGGTGACTTACTGGTGGCTCAATTCCCTCACGTCACATGACTTGAAGCCCCATTCTTCGGCTAGTTTATCTTGCTGAGATGCTTCTTCTAAAAACATTATCTTTAAAAGAAAGAAAGACAAAATCACAGATCAACGAATCACCAGTTATTTGCTGTCATTAAATACATGCGTCTTTTTAAGGAAGCCTGTACTGTTGCTGAGGTTTTGGGGGTGGTTTTTTTTGGGTAGGGGGATTGGTACCAGGAATTGAACTCAGAACCTCGCACTTGCCAGGCAGGCACTGTGCCATTGAACTACATCCCTGGCCCTGCTGAATCAATTTTAAAAGGTATTTGATAGCAAATGGAATTGAGTTTAGAGACAAAAATGACAAGAGTTTGCCTTTGGTCACTACATGTAAACGGTAACTTCTCCTTTGCTGCCATAATGTGATACACCAAAACTTCTAGGTATTGAAAATAGCTAAATCAAAATGAAGAAAGGGAAGAATTCTTTTAGAAAATGTACTTTACCTTGAATGAAAAGGTCTTTGTGAGGCTGCTCTGGGGAAGCCCAACCCTGGGGTGCAGAAGTAATGACATAAGGCAATTAATTAGCACTAAATGTAACTGCCCATGAAAACTGCCTGAAGGGTGAGTGTGCTGTGGACCATGTTGCTATTTAGATGCTAGACAGCTTCTGTAAAGAGGTCTTCTGTGTTTTTCTAGTGTCCCGTGTAGTAGACCCTCAAGGGAGGTAGGTAAGAAAGGGATTGCTCAAGTTAGGATTGTGAAACCTAAAGGCAGCAGCTGGGCAAGCATGGGGGTCTCTAACTCTCTCGGTCTGATCTGATATTCCCATCCACCACCAGCGGATAACACTACGCACACTTCACAGGACTGAACACCCAACAGCTTCCAGTGGTTGTTTAGTAGTTAGGTAAAGGTCTAACTCTCCAAAAACTGACAGAATAAAGTCCCCATCCCTGTTTCTGGTGAGGTTTTTTCCCTCATCAACACCCAAACTAGAATGCACTGGACTCCTCATACTGGATCTTGATTTTTACTAGTATCTTCATAAAGCTCTGACAAGCTCCAGCCTAAACAAGACCCTACCACTCGCCACTTAGAAAAATCTTCGCTGTGACTTCTTTTACTGCCCCTCCATAAGCAGCAAACTCCCCTACATCTTCATACATACTCTCAATGTCTCCATCTAAGAATGGGGCTGCCCCGATGGCCGCTCAAAGGGCAGGTATGTATATCTCAGGGCAAGGGAATGAGTTTGGGATCCTCTGCATTCCCCATGGCCTGTGTCAAACCATTTTCCTGCAGCACCGTGTAGGCAAACAAATCTGCTCCCTTTGTTTCAAGGGCATCTTTCCTCCCCCTGCGAGGTTCCTCTTTACCAACTTTTCCCTTGTTTTCCCACTTCGTTGTTGCCTGCCTTATACTGTCTCTCCACTCCAACGCTTCACCATTCCTTAGGGCTTCACCCCCTTTGAGACCATGCTCAACTATTTCTATAAGTGCGTTCTCAGTCATTTGTTCTATTTCACGTCAGCCACGGAAACCATGACCACCCCTTTGATGTGTCCACAAACCACAACTGTTCCACCTCCAAAGCCACTGAATCTCATATATGACCACACTTTCTTCTTTCCTCTTTACGACTATAACCAATGTTCTACCCCAATGAGCCCTCTCTTTACCTTCTCCTCCCGCTACTTTTTCCCAGCCCCCTAGGGAATCTTCTTTCACTATTTTCAATGCCCAGATTAGATCCCAGCACACATGGTTTCAGATTTCCATTTTCTTTTTCTGGGGGGTAGTACTGGGAATCAAACTCAGGACCTCACGCCTGCCAGGCAGATGCTGCACCACAGAGCTGTATCCCTGGCCCTCCCATTGTCTTTTAATGTATACTTGAGACAGTTAATTCCACCATGACGCAATCCAGCTCTCCTTTTCTCTGAGTGGACAAGTTTGGAGCAAGGTACGCAACACAATAGATCGAATACCCACCAGCACCAGGCTCAGAGGTGCTCTCAGCGACACCTGCACCTGGCACCCTCTGACACTGCTGTAGCACTGTGGAGTTTGCTGTCAATAAAACTGACAGATGATGTAATTGCCTACAAACCAATCATTAATATTTTTGATGATAGATTATAAAATTTTTGTCAAATAATTTAGGAGTTCAAGATTAATCAACAGGGGCTGGGGATTTAGCTCAGTGGCACAGCACCTGCCTAGCTAGCACAAGGTCGTGAGTTCAATTCCCAGTACTGGAAAGAAAAAAAAAGAAAAAAGATGATTGATCAACAGTGCTGTACTAAAACTTTGTATTCTCATTTACTTGACTTTTATAAAAAATGTTTCTCAGCACTCACATTCACAGAAATGTACAATTAAAAAATCATGCAGTTCCTATTTCATTCTTCCAGCAAGTAACACGAAATCACAGATATATTACACAGCCTTTTTATTTTACATGTGACAAATTATCTTTCAAATTTTATAATACACATTTTTAAATTTCCTTGTGTTCCCAGGAAATTTTAAGCATTTAAATAATGTCCACAAAATATTCTGCAATGGCTGATCAATAAAAGGCTTTCAAGTTGTTATGGTGTATGTCTAGTAGTCCTCCCAAAGTCTCATGCAGCCTACATGGGGCTTTTTCAGAGGTGGCTAAATCTAGAGTGTATGACTGATTCATGGTGCAGTTCTGGGTTTAAGGTGTGCTGGGGCTAAGGGTGGGTGATTGCTGGGTCAGTCCACTGCCTGGATTGGCACAGCCCTCATGCCAGAAGACTGCATACAATACAAAAGGCAGAAAGAGGCTTGTCTCTCTCCCTTTTGCTTTTGCTGTCTTCTGCTGCCATGAACTATTGCTCCTCTGCCATGCCTCCCTGCTTTGGAGCCAGCTGATTATGGACTGAAACCGCTGCAAACCGGGAGCCAAATAAACTTTTCCTCCTTTCACTTTGAGGTGTCAGGTTTTTTGTCTTAGCAACGAGAAAAGCAACATAGACACAATTGTAAAAACATATGGTGTTAGTTTAAAAACTCTATAAAGGAAAGTAGATTAAAATTGGCAACTGAAGAAAAAAAATATGTAACATTTTAAACCATTAAAAAGGAGCAAGTTCATGGTTTTTAAAAAATAGATTAAGGTTCACTGTATCTTGTTTCCATCAGAATTATTTTTAAAATACAATTCATAGCTTAATGCTAACATGCATATATCTAAATTTTTTCTAGAAATTATCAGCCTTCCACATACTTAAATTTAACAAAAACTTTTTAAATTGTGAAAGTTCTTTTAAATTGTGAAAAATCTTTAAATAAAGATTTAAACAATTCCCTTAGAGAGCACATTGGTAACAAAGCAATGAGGACTTCTTCAGTACTCCAAGAGTACTTTTCCAGTCAACTCAGGTTCCAGCCATCCACAGCACTGATTTTAAATCTGCCCTCTCTCTAGGTTTCTCATCCTATCTAGCCCTGGAGTGTGTTCCACACCTGTGCAATAATGAAAAGTTGCAAACAATCTCAAAGTCGACAAGTCAGTAACTGGCTCAATGTAAATAATCAGTGAGCAATTAAAATTGACAGTAGAGACTTATATGGACTAAGTGGAAAGTTATCCTTGATACAGCATTGAACATTTTTTAAAAGCTAGGTGTCGGGGTTTCTACCTAGATGCCCCCCCACAACTAGATGCCATGAGTGGAGCGTTGAGGTGGTCATTGAATCATGAGAGCGTGATGTTTATCAGTGGATGAGTTTATCGCTAAACTCGATGCTAGAGGCTGAACCCAGGTTAGAGGAGGTGGGTCACTGGGTGCGTGGCCTGGAAGGTCTGTTTCCCTCCTTCCTCCCTTGATCCCTCTCTGCTTTCCACCACCACACCATGAGCTGTTTCTCCTCTGCCATGCCCCACCGTCACACCATCCTGCCTTGCAGCCAGCTGACTATGGACTGAAATCTCTATAAACTGTGAACGAAAATAAACCTTTCTTCTTTAGAGCAATGTGTGTTCCATAATGTTTCTCAGCAATGAAAAATTAACTAAGACAGTAGGTCATGCATATGGTATGATCACATTTTTTTGTAAAAGAATGGTGTGTGTATCCATATATGTGTTGAAATGGTGGTATGTCTAAATATTAATATTGGTTATCTCTTAGCCAAGCGTGAGGGTACATGCCTGAAATCCCAGCACTTGGGAGGCTGAGACAGGAGGGTTACCTTGAGTTCAAGGCCAGCCTAAGCTATATAGTTAGTTCAAGGCCAGCCTGAACTACATAGTGAGAGCCTGTGTCAAAAAAAGAATTGGTTATATCTTCATAGAAGTTGGGAACTTTTTTTGTCTTTATGAGACAGGGTCTCACTATGCAGCTCAGGCTGGCCTTGAATTCACAGCAATCCTTCTGCTTCAGGCTCTTGAAGATTGCAGGAGTGCACCTACTGTCTTAGTTAATTTTTCATTGCTCAGAAACATTATGAAATACACATCAAGGGAGGAAGGAGGGAAACAGACCTTCCAGGCCATATATTCACTTACGAAATGCTTCCTGTGTGCCCTGTACAATAAACTGATAGATGGCTGTAAGTTATGCTGCCTAGAGGAGTGAGTGCTATGCTGAAAGACGAAGGAAAGTAAATGCACAGACCGAAAGGTGGGGTGCGATGGTTGCCCTAAGACATGCTGTTTGAGCACGGATTGGCATGCAGTTGGGGAGAGGCCCTCTGGCTATTCTGGGAGGGGCGTTCTGGGTAGAGGGAGCATCTAGTGCAAGGGCCCAAGATGCAGATGCACCTGGCATGCTTTGAATCCCCAGAGATGCCAGTGGGAACTCCAGATAAGGACTACGTGAAACAGTGGTACAAACCAGATCAAGGTGGTAGCCAGTTTGTAGGGTATAATATAATATAATATAATGAAGAAATTAAAGATTTACTTTAAGAAAATCTCTAATGTTTTTGAAAATTTAACATAGCAAAAGTATAAAACATGATTGATGTTTTCTTCATGAGGTAATGGCTTTTTCATCCGAGGTTGCCTAGACTCTTGCAGTCATTCACTCACTCATTCACCATCCAGCATGTGCC